ACCTTTGTTGACCGTCTCCCTTTCAATGTCAAATGTCATTACCTTGGCTATCTTCTGATAGTGTCATTTGTGCGGTCTGTCTACTTGCGTTATAACAATCTTCCAAAGAATTCTTCTCAACTTTAGACTGCTCTTGCGCGTGATAGAAGGTTGATTTTTTCAGAGTCTTTTGCAATTTGCTACATTTGCAAAGTCCCACTCTGTGCCACGTGTGGCTCTAGTTAAGAGTTTTAACCAATCAGAAATGTCAATGTTTGTACAGTCTGGATAGTGGATAAACAAAAATAAATACTTTTTGACCTTTCTTGATCGGTCACTCATTGGAATTCTGCCATATAAGGGAACCCATCATTAAAATTGTATAAAATAACTCATAAAATATTAAAAATGCGTAAAATTATATCTCTATTTCTTGCGTCTACATTTCATTAAATTTTCCACTAAAGGTTTGGCATCCACTTTCAGTTGTTTGTTGGTCAGCATATATAAAAGAGGATTGGTAATGGCGGTAAGGCTACTGATGCTGCTCAGTAATGCAAGGGAACTCCGACATCCAGTATGTAAATCTGTTATCAATTTGCATATAATACTATCAATTGGAAACGGTAGCCATAATAGTAAGAATATACCCATTAATATTGCTATACGTTTTGCTGCACGCATTTCAACACGCCGTTTTCCCTGAACGCGATTTTTCGGATTATATACACAAACAGCCCCGACTATCTCTTTGCTTTTGTTTTCTACGATTACGTCTTCCTTATGTACAGTACCGTCCATGTCGTGTATGGCAACATTTTTCACAACTTTCTGCTCATTTTGTGCTGGCATGTTTGGAATGTTGGATTGAGGTTGTAGTAACACTTGGGACTTTTCCGTTTGCGTTATTGCTGCAGCGTTTGTAAGTATCTTAGCGTCTACTGCGTGTGATACCGTTTCAATTTCTGAACGGATTTGAACTGTTACCTCGGGAGTCACTTGTGCGGTTTTCTTTCGCATTGTGGTCATCTTCTTACCGTGATGGTACAGATGCCGCAACATGGCTAAATAACATACGGTGATGATCGTAAGGCAGATGAAGGTTATTGGTAAAATGAAATACATTTCGGTCTCTTCACTGTTCATGATAGATTTCCCAGTGAACACAAAGGTTAAACTATTTTCATAAAGGATGGCACACACTATTGCTAATATGACAGCAACAACCCACGAGCAGACGCAACCAGCTATAGTCCGATGACGTCCACTATTCCCTTTTTTAAAAGGTGCGGCTATTGCTTGATGACGCTCAAAGCTGACACCGACTAACAGAAACATTCGGACTACGTCAGTTAACGTTTGTAAGAATAAATCCACTCTGTAAACGGATTCCGGGAAGTTATCGCCGTTAATAAACATTCCCGAACGAATTAGTAAAGTCACACAACAAATTATCAAATCGCTGACGGATAGATTAATGAAATACACGTTCATGTACGTTTTCAGGTGTTTTTTCCGCAAGATCACTGTGATTAATAGAATATTGATAATAAATCCAAACACTACAGTAAATACGATAATCATCATCGCTATAACACTACACCAAATCGGTAGATTCCCACCCTCAGATGGTACCATACTCAATTTTCGAATACACCAGACATTTCCTAACTTGGGATTTAACCGAATGATGTTATTTTCTAACCATTCCTAATATTGTACTATTGTAAGTGAAACGTCATCTAGATCAAAACAGTTTAACTGTTGTGCTTCTTTCCGCTTATAGAATTCAAAACAAACTTAGCTCTATAGCGTTAGGTTACGGTGATCCACTGTTGTTTTCTTGTCTGGTTAAAGAAACGTCAAGAATCATTTAATACGAGAGTGATTCACAGTTTCACTAGAATAGAAACACAAAACATCACTTAACATTGAGTTGTATTCTAACAAGTGGTTCACTGGTATATTATTGTCTGTTTACGGAAACATCAGACATCACTAACCTCTTCTTGGTTATGTTTTACAGAGTGGTTCACTGTTGTATTGTCAGCTTCAAAAAATTCTTCTCTTACTTCAAGTAACTCCTTGTTGAAATCCAGATAGTGGTTAACTGTTATGTGTTTGTTTGTTTATAGAAACGCCAGACATCATTTAAATCTGTTGTACAACAGATGTTATTCGCGATTGTATAGTTAACACATTCATAATCAAATAGTCAGGTATGTTCTTTCGAGATACGGGTCGTACTGTTGTACTCTCGCCTTCTTTTTAGTTGACCATTGCCTTTGATATTACATAATGTTCACTTTATCCGTAGGTACGGGAGCTTTTATTTTCCTATTTCTATATCTAATATTGGATATTCCTCATTACCTTATAATTCCTTTTTACTCTTCCTGATTACTATGTACAATTAGAACCACATAGTCATCTCCATCCTTACTACACCCAGCACACCACAGTATGGCTGTTAACACTTTACGATGCTGATCACTACCATTCAGGACAACTTTCTGTAATCACAAAAAGAGAAACAAGTTAACAATTTCATCTGTCCGGTTTCCAAAATTTTATGTCCATTGATAAATGAAATTTCACTCACGTCTCCTCTATATGAAGAATGGTAACTTTGGTTAAAATAAAATTTGAACCTCTATTGGTATGAAAATGAAAACACTTTCCTCGACGTCAATCATCTAGTTTACCCGACAAATCCAGACTCGTAATGAAAATCTATGATATACCGACAGTAAATAAAAACTTAAGCGAGAAATACCGCGTAATCATTAGTTCAATAAATGAGTTCTATAAATTACCGAGCGAACACAGACTAAACTTGATGACGTCACAATCTACAGAAATATTTGAACGACAAATGCTGCGTCATCCCGGAAACTATGTGGGCCCTAATAATATATTATTGTATTGACTGTAAATAAGTTGAAGCTTTGGTCAAAGAATCTTCTCAAGTGCAAAACGAGTCATAAATTAATTAACACGATCATTATTGTCAATGTTTAGATTCCTCCATTTAGTAACACAAAATGACGTTATCAAACGTATACCAATTAAATTTCCCCCACAGAGAATTCAGAAAGAATTTATCTATATAACGTAAACGATTTGGAAAAATATCGAAATTGATAATATTTTTAGAAAAGCTTGATAACTTTCTAAATTAATCTGCTTATATATTTGCAAAATACAAAATAAAAAAACACCGTCCCAATTAACCAAAATATTTCCCTAGAATGATTTCAAACATAACTAACCTAGGTATCATACTCTTCTGTGTAGTTTTCTCTATCCCTTTTTTTACAGTGAATGTGTAATAAATGCTAGATCGTAACTTGTAAAGAAAGAAAGATCGAATAACGACATTAGCAGCATCTAAGTACACACGATTTTTGTCGCCGACTCGCATTGCTAGTAAATTCTCACATGCGCCCGAGCCTCCACAACAAGATTATCGCGTTGAAGACAGGATTGTTAATATCAAACCAGTTTGATACTTGTAGCCGATTATTTATCGTCTTCAAGACAGAGCGTCATCATTCAAATCAGATTTATTTTTCCGTTTAATTACATGATCCGCACTTGATTATCAACCTAGTGCAAGACGACCGACTTATATATTGTCTCCTTGTGTGCCCGCAACCGTTCGCTGAAACTCTCAACAAGACTCCAGTCGGCGACAAACCTCAGATATCTCTTAAAATTCTCGTATTCGATGTGCTCAATAATTCGAAAAAAGAAAAATTAGATAGTGGACCACAGCCATATACGCCCACTACGGCATGCGGGTGGTAAAGATTTTGGGACAAGGGCAATAACTCTGCTTCTAACGGTCGAAAATTGCTCAAATTCGAACTTGGTCTTCGTTTTTTTTTTATACACATACCGAATTTCATTTGATTCCATCACGGACGCCTTGTCGTTCGGATGGGACGTTAATCGGGGACCCACGGTGCTACAAGCATGATGAGCTGGTCTTCATTAGCCCAACCAGCAGCAGAAAAGTAGTATGTAGAACTCTATTTCATTACATTTTTCCACAGAGCAGTCAAGTTGATACACCCACAGTCGCAGTGTGTCCAATAGTCCAATAAACTATGGTAGTTCTGATCGGACGCGACAAACCTATCTTTGCAAAGCTCAGCCCGAAGCCTGTCATAATTGTTGGTAGGACAGGATTATCAATATAGTATATTAAGTGGATAAAATATCATGCACTACAACGGTCATTTTCAATAGTGCCCGAAAACTTGAATGGAAAAATCAATTTCAAAAATCAATTTCAAAACTTCTAAAAGTCGCCCATAATTTTTCTCAACTGACTAATCAAGCTTAAAGAAGCAGACTCGCCTTTATTTTAACGATCATACCTTAGTCTCAGAAACGGGAAAATTTGAGCGAAGCTTATCAGTAAGAGTGTTCACAGCTCAGTTGAAATTTGAGCATTTAAATCCCTGTGTTCAGAATTATTATATCTGCGTTTTGGAAGAAAGAGACTCGTCTTTTCTCGAGACTCTGTCATACATAGAAAAAGAAAGTAAAGTCTTATTTTCGGGTATTTTTGCACGAATTATGCGACTTTCTTACATTTCTAGAACTATTTCCATATATTCATAACCCAAATCCCCAAATTCCGGGTTTCTTTAAGTATATAAACAAACTTCAGTCCCTCCTACAAGCTCACTAGACTTATTTCTTCGGAGGGGTAAAGGTGTATGGTGTAATGGAATTGTTCGGTTGTCTCTCATCGTACCCTCTAGCTACGGGCCTGTCCCTCCCCTATTCTTCACTAGTCGACCTGGTCTAAGTGTTGCATCAGCGGTTATTTGCCAATTAACAAGTTTCAGATCAAGGCCTGAAATTATTCTTTACATTGGCTATGAGACAGAATATTACAATCCTGATCTATATCGCATCACGTACGCCCAATGTGTTGATTACTCGATGAACTTGTTTAGAATCAATAGTATCGTTATTATAGATAATACTTGAAATGGTTCTTAAAAGCCTTTCATTATGAATGAACATTCAGAAAAATATTTCTCTAAGAACTTAAAAAATATATAAGAAGGTGAAATCTATATTTTTTATTTCAGTTGATAACTGATAGTTGTTGATAGACGCTCAGAGGCAAAAATAGGCCAGAGTTTATAATTTCACAGGGTTTTGTGGACACAAAGTAGGTGGTCCTAGTAATTTGGTCACAAGGTTTATTGGTCACAGTAATTTGATCTTAGGGTGGTAATTTGGTCAAAAGGTAAATTGGGAAATAGGGAATACTAATAGCATCGATTTGAGCCATTCCAATTTTCATCACAAGTTTGTAGTTCCTGCAATTGTAAAAACCGCATGTGGCATCAATATCGCAAAGCTACAAATAATAAATCTTTGTAATAGCTACGGCATAAAACAGACGTATGGCTGGAAATTGTTACTCGATACCCATAAAGAAACCAGAAAACTTTTTTACAATCCCTAAATTCAGTTGAAGGAAATAGGACCTATTGACCTTGTGACGAATTGACCTTGTGAGCTAAGTACTGTGACCAATTGACTTTGTGACCATATTACTGTGGCCTATTTACCTTGTGGCCATATTACTGTGACCAATTTTCCTTGTGGCCATACTACTGTGACCAATTTACCTTGTGACTATACTACTGTGACCTATTTACCTTGTGATCATATTACTGTGACCAATTTACCTTGTGACCATACTACTGTGACCTATTTACGTTGTGACCATATTACTGTGACCTATTTACCTTGTGGCCATACTACTGTGACATATTTACCTTGCGACCATACTACTGTGACCTATTTACCTTGTGACCATACTACTGTGACCTATTTACCTTGTGGTCATATTACTGTGACCAATTTACCTTGTGCCCATACTACTGTGAAGTATTTACCTTGTGACCATACTACTATGACCAATTTATCTTGTGACCATACTATTGTGACCTATTTACTTTGTGGCTATATTACTATGGTCAATTTACCTTGTGGCCATATAACTGTGACCAATTTACCTTGTGACCATACTACTGTGACCTATTTACATTGTGGCTATATAACTGTGACCAATTTACGTGTGACCGTACTACTGTGGCCTATTTATATTGTGACTATACTACTGTGACCTATTTACCTTGTGACCATACTACTGTGACCTATTTACCTTGTGACCATATTACTGTGACCAATTTACCTTGTGACCATACTATTGTGACCTATTTATCTTGTGACTATATTGCTGTGACCAATTGACCTTGTGACCATACTACTGGGACCTATTTACATTGTGGCTATATTACTGTGACCAATTTATCTTGTGACCATACTATTGTGACCTATTTACTTTGTGGCTATATTACTATGGTCAATTTACCTTGTGGTCATATAACTGTGACCAATTTACCTTGTGACCATACTACTGTGACCTATTTACCTTGTGACAATACTACTGTGACCAATTTACCTTGTGACCATACTATTGTGACCTATTCATCTTGTGGCTATATTGCTGTGACCAATTGACCTTGTGACCATACTACTGTGACCTATTTACATTGTGGCTATATTACTGTGACCAATTTACGTTTGACCATACTATTGTG